GGGGGGGGGGGGGGGGGGGGGGGGGGGGGTTAATGACGGACGCTCCGAGAGAGAGAGACCGCTTTTTTGTCGCCGGTCTGTCGTCTTTCACGACGGAGGCGGAAAGAACGGACCACGCGTCCTCGCGAATAATTAATTACCGTTTCGTTGATTAATCCGCCTCCGTCGCTGCCGCGAGTCGGGCGAGGTTTTACGCGAGGTATCTCACAAAAACTGGTACAATGGCGATGGAATAATGTTCTTTGCGGTATATTCCGAGAAAAGTCTTTCCCCCTCGTTCCATTAGACGCCGTCTTTTTACGCGGCATTGACGTTCTTAACGCGACACACACTTGAGTAAGCGCGTCGCGTTGAAATTCGCGAATGTTACCGAGGTGGCTTTATCACTTATTCGTGTCCCTGTGGAATTCGCGAGGACCTTCAATCTCCTCTAAGCTAAAAAGTTTGTTCATCCGAAAGCTTTATTCGGGAAATGTTGACTTATACGAGAAAGAAGAAAAAGTTATCGCGGATTTTGACAGAAAGCACCAACTTATTACTTATTATATGAGATCCCCGTCATTACCTTCACTTTGTATTAATTGCAATCGTTCAAGCGAATTCGCCTTGCGAAATCACGCTGCGCATAAGCGGTTCGACGGACTGACGCGCGCAACGTTCTCGGGGGGGGATCTCCTTCATTTAAATTTCGAGGTTAAAGTCTCGTTTCTTAGAGTAATTTCACGTCACGTAACGTCGGGTTCTCAAAATCTCCAAAATCCGCCCAACTGAGATAAAAGAGGAAAGGATATTATCCGGGTTTTACGTTTCATCAAGGCAAGATATTAAAGAAAGCACACCCCTCCGCACGCGTGAGCGCTTGCGTGGAAGTAAATTTATCGCCGGGATTTGAAGGGCTTTCGAGCGGACGGGCGGCAGGGACCGAAAGACGCTAGAATTCCTACAGGGCGGAAAAAGGCGGGAGGCATGCTGTCAAAGGACACAGAAAATGCTTCGGGGACTACTTACCGTAGTCTTCTCCAAGCAGCGAAGTAGGTGATGATGCTGCAACTCGAAGATATCCTCCTCCTTGTAGTCCTCCAGCTGCAGTCCGCTCTGCTGAGCGGCCAAACGCGCCTCCGCTGCTTTCTTTTTGCTCACGAAGGCGGCGCCGCTCGACGCCTTCGCGATCCTGATACGCGCCAATCTGGCTTTCTGTAACACGAAAGAGGAGGAAATTCATTCGTTATTTGCCATGTTCGTTTTATTGGCACGGGTCTGAGAAGACTGAAATTGGAAAAAGACAGAACTTTTTCTTAAATGAAATTGATGTTTACGAAAATCACCGCCTCCAAGACGAAGACAATCAGTAAGAAAGATTAAAGGAGCAACGACGAAACTTGAAACTTCCACTCCGAGTAATTTGTTAAAAATGTGATTGTTATTTATATAATTACATTATCAGTAATAGTAATTAAAAACTTTTTATGAATTATTTAGTAAAAGAAGAGCTCTTAAGTGATTGTGTGCAAACTATAATTATTAACAGGAAATAATTCCTAAACAATCGAATTCATATTATTTCTAGGAAAAATATACGTTCGTTGTTTCCCCTAAAATGTGAATTCTCAATGTTTGGTCACTTATCGATGCTCGAGAGACAAAAGTAGTAACTTTACGCGGTAACTTCACCGCAAAAGGGCGCGCAAGGGACGATCAGTACGACAAAGATCCATGGCATTGTGGGAGCGAGTGAACGAACAATTGTATTATTTCACGATTAAGCATGCGCGGGTGTTTCTCTCGACGTTCACCGGGGATAAATTCCCACGAAGGCCGGAATAAACTTTTATCTCGGCGCGGTGATACACGGCGCCTAGACTTCATCGTGCCTCCTTAAATCTCCATTTTACGCCGCGTGGGGAGGCCTTCGGTTGACAAATGGCCAAATTTCGCCACCCATAAATATTCCACGTAAATTCCTGCCGGTGAGAGAAGACATCCTTTCGGAATGGTTTACCTCCGACAATTTTCGAGACTTTCGTCATCCCTTAACGAAATCGCGATGCTTGCCAGCTCTTCACTTCGCGATCTACTATTCACCGACCGATAGCGTATCGATATCTTGGGAAAGTTAAATCGTCCTCAACTAATAAATTGTTATTTTTGCACCGTGTCGAGATGTAAAAAGAAATTACAGCAAGAAATTACAGAAGTCAAAAAGTAATAAAGTTCCGGTGAATTTAATGGCGGAACTCCGCCTTTACTTTCCATCCTAGTATTTGTTCATTCCCGAGAAATTGAAGCAAATTAAACTCTCTATTTCAATCAAATATCTAGTGTTCTCCCTCTCTCTCTTTCTCTATTACTATAAAAGTTTGAAAGACCTTGTCCACGATTTTATTAACTAATTAAAAGCACAGTATCAACCACGTCATAACATAATGAAACAACACAATGAAAGTTGTATTACAAATTAGTCGGGATAACATCATGTCCCATTTTCTGTAAATTTTAAATAAACCACTCTTTCAATTTTATAATACAACACGCTCCCTTCGTATATTCACTTCTTCATGCGCAACAGAGCGGAATCACGAAAATATCAAATCCACAAAAAGTTCTCATCATCTTAAGACGCCGTGCGCACAAATTGCAAACAGTCAGAACGGTTCTAATTATTTATTTATTTATTTATAATGTCGTGTATAAATGAAAGACTATAAATAAACGCAGCTCTATCTGCCCTGTATTTCTCCAAGCGGCTTTATAAATAAACGACCTTATGCAACCTTATCGACGCCTCACACGACCACGTGTCTAATATTTTTTTTACGGTCGACCTGCAACAACTATCGCGCTATTTTATGCGGCAAGAAATCTGCGCGTAACGCCGCATGAACGCGATTAATTCCCTCGGCTTGCGCCGTTTAAACCCCACCAGATGACGTTTCGTTGTATAATTGATTTCGACCACGTCGGTTTCAAGAGACTGTAATTATCAAGACGAAACTTCGTATACGCGCCGTCGGAAGAATAAATGCCCAACTCAAAAAGCAAAGCGAGCGTTAATTTTTTCCCAGACACGTTCCAGACAGCCCCTCGGGATTCTCACTTTGCGAAATTATATCGGAATATCTGCGGTTTTTGCGCGAATATTACTACATCGCGAATAAACTCCGGACTGACTCTTTTCCGGCCGCAAGCGAGGATTAACGTCCGAGCTGTCGCGTATCGACCGCGCTAATTTTGTAACTTTCGCAACTCTCCGCTATGCAATTGCGGAAATTGCGGCAGACGGCAATAAGCGCCAATTCAATACCCGCATCTCAGATCCGCCGCGCGTGATCACTTTGAGAGTGGTAACGAGCTAAGGCGGCGGTACCCGAAGCGGAGTTCCCGCGAGACTCGCCGAACACGCTGACGCACATATATTTTTGGTGGATATCGATATCTCGATAGTTACTATTGATCGCTTAATCGGAGACTGGAAGAACTAGAGGCGGTTTCTATCGGTTCTATTTTCGCTAGAGCGAAAAGGAGGGGCGCGTCGCTGGTGCGCGTAGAGTCGAAGAATCCGCTCGATAAAAATATGGACATACGAGGAATTAAGCCCCTTCTACGCCCGAGAGATTTTACCGCCCTTCCAACCTCGCATTATTTTTGCAAATAGAAGCTATTTCCGGCACACACAAAGCTGAAAACCACTTTTTTCTCTTGCGTGTATACGCGGCGAATTTTCAACGAATACGTAGTCAAACAATTAAATTTTTTTCACAAGAAAGATTTTCAAATAAATATATCCGCGTCTCTTATTTCGTAGTATATATTTGGACGAAGTATCACATGCGAGAAGTCACATTTTAATGTAATTTGCATTTATATATTGTCTTGGACGATATCTCGCGCTTGCATTCATTAAGTCGACGTTAATTAATGAATGAGGAACACGCAGCGTGAAACCCGAAGGAAAACATTAAGGTCGAAGAAATCGATTTCTTTGCTATTTCTGAAATATTCTAAATCTAAACACACACACACACACACACATATATATATATATATATATATATATATATCCAAGTCAGTGTAGAACACGAATATTTACGTTTTTATCGTGCATTACACGGAAAAGGAAGATTAACTTCGGTAGCTAAATTAGTTTTAACATATGAACACGTAAAACTTTAACAGCGCAAGCAATTTTAATCGCTACTGCAGTAATTATAATTACTTGCGTTGCTAAAGTTTTAGGTGCCCATATGTTACGACCAATTTAGCTGCAGCAGCAGCTAATCTTTTTTTTCCGTGTAGCAGTAAATAGGGTTACATGTTCTCGAGACATAATTGTGCGGACGTAACGCCCACCTACCACGTTTAAATCGGGAAACTTTGGAATAACCGTCTTCAGCGCTATTAGACCCGTGCTTGAAATTGCAAGCCGGAAACTCATCTCTCTCTCTCTCCCTCTCTCGCCGCTTATCGTAGACTCACGATAAGCGCAAAGTGCGAAGGTGCGAGAGCGCCGCAAGGTCGCCTCGTAAAACAGTTAACCCGTTGGCCGATTTACAGACGTCTCTCGGTATATTTTCACGCGGTGCAATACCGGCCAGACTCGCAGAGCCGCGCTTTTCCACGATGTGCATTCGCTCGCGGACGCTCGCGGATGTTTACGCCGTTACGGATCGGGGGGGTCTGCGAAGCGTCAAGAAGCTGTCCTCGGATGTGCCAACCGCGGCTTAACTGCGCTTTAATGTCACGTCACGATAACGACGAAGGCGACGGAGGTGACGGCCGTTGACAGTCGAGAGAGAGAGAGAGAGAGAGAGAGATAGAGAGTATGGCGCGCGCGACCTAACGCAACGCCGAATCGTCGCCAGCTGTGATTGAACGGGCGGGCTTTATGGAGCCGCAATGAAAACGCCGTAAAGAGTGAAGTCGAACGGCCGAGACGAGCGGAACACGACGAAATGAATTCACGGCGACGTTGTTTCACGTGCGACGAAGCGCGACGTCGCGAAGCGAAGTGTGTTTCGGGTTCATTGAATGCA